GCCGGGATCAACCCACGATTTCTTGCGTTTACGATTCTCGAAAAATATCCACTTTTCATCGCCAGTCACAATCCAATGCAGGAACGACTTTCTTTTTTCTCTGGCGAGCAAGATTTCGCATGTGTTTTGGCGTCGCTCCATCTGCCTATCGATCAATTCATGTGGCACCCATTTTCCGATTTTTTTAACCTTTCCCATGGCACGTAGGCGCATGGAAATGGCTAGTTGAGTAACATCCAATTGCTCGGGAAGCATTTTTTGCAATTGGGTATCGTTCTCGTCCAAAAGAGCCTGCAATTGATGGTCCTCAACCTTCCTGGACCGATTTTCACGCTTCTTGTCGTTCAGGTCAAAATTGCCGTCTTTGAACCGACGAAACCAATCTCTGCACGTTGTTTCCCATAAAGCACTATCGCCATAGGCTTCCACAAGCATTCGATGCGATTCGGCAGCCGATTTCTTCAAATTGAAGCAGAAAAGCAGAGCTTCCCGCATGTGCTCTTTTTCTGGCAAAAAACTAGACACGATTACCAAAGAAAAATGTATGTTATTGTATGAAATTGCTGATGATGTGCACTGATTACTGTTGACAGATGTCAAACTCATACAAAACAAAAGTATGGCGTGTGCATAGTAACTTAATATGCCCACTAACGCAATCTATGAGCAAACAGCAGATTTATGCTTATACACCTGGTATAATATAAACGCGTACACAACAATCAGCTTCTACGTCAACTGAACTATAAGGAAACAAAGCAACATTTTTAAAATCCCCTTCAACCCCGTAAAAATGTTTTATTTTCAACATATAAAATCTGCGACGTTTCAAACGCTGAAACGAAGAATAGAAATCAATGGATACGCCAAGGAAAATAAATCCGGCAAAGTGATAAGGGATAAGCGCCGTTGAAGGAAGGAGAGTGCTCATTAATTTTTCCGGAAACTGGAAGAACTCCCGGAAGCTTTTCTCGTCTTGCCAAGACTCCAAGTGGGTTTTAGCCGGAGCTCGTGTGTACATGCTCACGTCTACTAATGTAAGTGCAACGCCAGTAAAACTCTACGAGAACCGGACAGACCTAGATTCGCCGGGTACAAGCCCGTCAATTCTCCAAAGTAAACCCCGTGTAAATGGGCAGTAATGCTTTAAGCAATCCCTAGTGCTCCCTAGTTGTTCCGGGACCAGTCAAAAGCTCGCTACTTGTACAAAATATTCCAATGTCCACCTTCCTTTCGACATCGGGGGCACATTATGCATATCTCTTCATATATATCTACAAAACCAGTAAAATATGAATTAATGAAAAAAGTAAAAAACCCTATAAATTTTTTGCACAAATTATCTTAGATCGAAGCCTGGACATATCCCCGATCGAGTTTCAATTTTCGTCCTGCATCATTACCCGCCAAGGGCACTATGTTAAAGCTACATAACACTGGAATAACATGATATATAACGAATGTTATTCAAAAGATACATTAATATCATATAACATCGAATCATTACCGTTTGGTAACAAACTTGTTAACATAGCAGTTGTATATTATTAGCATAACACATAACATATGTTATTTATGCGTTACATTATTCATTTTATAACAGTGTTATATAGCTGCGTAGGAAATAGTAATACAAATCTTGCTTATACATTACACGTATGTTAAATTACATGTTGCAAACGTTATGTAACGGTTATATTATTCTTAGGTAACCGTGTTTGGTGGGTAATTCATTATTAGGACGCCATATAAGAAATTCCCCATAGACGTTAACTTGTATCTAACATTTATCTCCTGTTTTGGTTAGCTATCGGTGTTTCTCACTTCTAACTCGGGGAACTCCGTCCGTATAGTTGTGCTTTAAATTTCGCCGAAGTTTGCATGCCGATGACCTACTTGCGGGCGAGCATTTAGCTAGATGCAAGAAAGCAACTACACGCATCACGCATGCACGACCTGTAATAATAATGTTTAAAAAAACACTTTAAGCAAATTGTACAGTACGTGCTTTGCGCGAAGAGTCGCAAAAGTGGAACTAATCTGCCGCGCTATTTTCAAGCAAAAAGCACTTGCGCGAAATGACATGAGTATGTTAAACGAGGATAATTGCTTGAAAGTACAGCGGAACCTCGATTGCATCCGGCGATTGCATTATCTTAACCCCGATCAGACGTACATTCGATGATGCATGCTTTTAATATTTAGACGTGTACTTACATTTCTTGTTCTGTAACGCATTATATACGATAATTCCGTAAACCGAAATTTAACACATTATAAAAAGAATATATATATAATTAATCTTGCTTTCTCGAAATTAAACACCTAAACTGATACGACTTCTGCTCTGAGAAATATACTTTGAGAGAAATTATAAAATATTGCAGCCATATTTATGTAGCCATAGTTTATGGTGAGTCGTCTGAATCGCTTTTTACTACAAAATGGCGTTAAAAACTGAAGACTGTATCGCGTTCGTGGAAAATGTAGCAATATTCTCCCCCGTGGGACGCCAGTTTTCCACCATTGGGTGGAGGGAGGAAAGTGAATACGTTCACGTTCCAAGAAAGCTGGTTTACATTGCAATGAAAATAGAGCTCATGAAAAGAAACACATCCACGGGATTTAATAAAAGTTTCACCGGTCCATACTTTCCGTCGATCTTGGAGTAAAGTTGACCTCTTGTATTTCTTACTTAATTCCCCTTATAAAGTACAACGTGGCTCTGCGAAGATGCGGATATGCAGCGGAAAAGTAATTACCATCTGCATTTCCGCCTCCTTTAAAATGTAGCCATAAACGCAAATGGACGTAGACTAACTTCGGCGGAAAATAGTTCCACCTTACTGCAGTCAAATTAGTTTCCAGCCGTTTCGAGCAGACGGCGTTTCTTGGAAGGCCCGACATTTACTAGCAAACCCGATAAATAATAAACAACCATTGAAAATTCAGACCGTCTGTGTTGAGAATCTATATATCCGCAGGTCGTGTCACTCGCCTCAAGAGAGGCTTAATAATTTATTTTCTTTCGCGTGGGAAATCGATAGTCAGGCTCTTCACTTGGCGTTCACTGCTCAGACACATAAGTCACCTTCTACGATTACCTCCTACGTTAACGTATGTTAAAACCTTAACATATTTTTTGCCAGAAAAGAATAAAATTATACGTCGCCAATGTAAATATAGAACTTATACAAAAATATGTAATTCGCTAAATTTGAGCTGTATAACAAAACCGGAGCTTTCTCGGCACTCGGAACGTAAAGCTACGAAAGAATTAAATTATACAGCATTATTGTTAGCACTATTGTTAAGTCCCACTGTTACCTTCATATCATGACAAAAAAAAATTCTCTCTTAGTTTTTCTTTTTCTTTTTCTTTTTACACAATATCGCTAATATAAATATAGAATTTATGTAGAAATATGTAATTCGTTAGATTTGAGCTGTATAACAAAATTGGAGCTTTTTCAGCGCCCAGAAAGTGGAGCTACGAAAGAATTAAATCATAAAACAGCGCTAATGTTGAGTTCAACTGTAACCTTCGTATCATATCAAAGAAAAATTTGCTCTCGGATTTTCCGTTCTTTTTTTTTCCTTACAGGATATCGAGGAATATTAATGCAGTAGAAAAGATTTAATTCTGGGATAGAGAAGTACCACGTAATGAAAAAATAAGTACACATCATGAAATTGTTAAACTCGTGGAATTTATTAAAATATATTATTCCATCCCGTCCTTCCTGTTCTTACAAAGAGTCAGGTGATAGTGAAGTCACATAACGCTCTAGATCCAGATTACAAAGGACTCAGGGTCCTATGGAGACGTCGAAGCAATCAACTTCACCTCCACAGACTTAACGAGAATACGACGACCAAGAAGAAAGTAAGAGATCGAGATTGGGTGTCAGAACAGAAAGAAATCGGCGAAAAGAATGTGCCTTTGTGCCGCTCAGGAAATTGAAAAATCAGCAAAGGTAATGTAACTCAGTGACTCGTACATAAGTGGAAATACCTATCGTTCAAAAAGAACCATTACGATAGCCTCGATCCTGACAATAGATTCCGAAGGATCGTGAAGGAGTATGATGTTGACTGAGTACTAACAAAACTGAAACATTAATAGTTTCAGATTTACGAAATTCTCCCTCAATAAAAATCTAAAAATCAGCAAAAGTAATGAGACTCAGTGACGCGAAAATAAGTGGAAATACCTATATTTCAAAAAGACCCATTACAACGATACCCTCGATCCTGACAATAGATTCCGAAGGATCGTGAAGGAATATGATGTTAATCGAATATTAAAAAAACTGAAACATTAATAGTTTCAAATTTAAGACATTCTCCCTCAATAAAAATCTAAAAATCAGCAAAGGTAATGTAACTTAGTGACGCGAAAATAAGTGGAAATACCTATCTTTTGAAAAGGACTATTACAACGATAGCTTCGATTCTGACAATAGATTCCCAAGGATCGTAAAGGAATATGATCAAAACATTAACAGTCTCGGATTTAAGAAATTCTCCCTCAATAAAAACGAACAACTGATCATTTTTACAACAGGATGATTTCTCACATTATTCTTTCCCGAATTGTGAATTTCTCCCTCAAATTTACTTACTCCAATTATACGAAATTACGTTATTCCTGATAATTGAAGAGATTTCGGTCTGCAAGTGTCAATCGTTTAATTCTGAAATTTAAATCCAATTTTATGTAAAGCATCCATCTTTAACGAATAACGGCGTACACTTGAACTATCACATTTCACCCTCAACCTAAAATGGCAGTCGTATTGGGATGATATATGAATTGATTATATCGTATAGTGTCAAAATAAGTCAAATGTCATACTCAAAATTTGGATCCAAGTACGGTTATAACAACACGCACACCAAATGTCTATTTGCGATCTCGATTATCAGAAGTCCCTATCGTGTTAAGTGTGTGTTCATATAAAGTTCAAAGAGGAGGAGAATATCAATAAAGAACTTACTCGTTCTTATAGCAAGACATATATTGCAATATTTTTACACGACCGTCTTTACATAACTTGTCAATAGTTTAAAAATTGACAAACTTACCTAAAGTGGTAATATACACTATAACAATACCTCGGGCGACTTCTGATAAACTATATCTGTGTCAGTAAGGCTTTTTCAACTTCACCCTTCGCTACCAGAATTCCTCACTTGCTCATTCGGAGAGTTGCTTCTTGAACGACTTACGGATCTTGACTTAGATCTAGATTTAGATCTCGATGCTCGAGATCCTGATTGCGATCTTGATCGGGATCGAGATCGAGACTTTGATCGAGATCGTGAGCGCGACTTCGACGGAGATTTCGAGCGAGACCGTGAACGCGACTTTGAACGCGACTTTGACCGAGATCGCGAACGCGACTTCGACGGTGATTTTGAGCGAGATCGCGATCGTGACTTAGACTGAGATGGCGAACCCGATTTCGATCGTGATCCCGAACGGGACCTTGATCTTGATCTTGACCTCGAAGGCGATCTTGAGCCAGACTTCTGACGCGATCCCGATCGCGATCTTGATCCGGACTTGGATCTTGATCTGGAACGCGAGGCGCGAGATCCAGAAGCAGACCTGGATGCAGATCTAGACCGCGAAATCTGCGACCCAGATCTGGATCCTGAACGCGATCTAGACTTGGACCGTGAAACGGATCTGGACTTAGATTTTGATCGTGAACGCGATCTAGAACCTGATCGAGAGCGGGAGCGTGATCCCGATCGTGAAGCAGGTGATCTCGATCCCGAATGTGAACGCGATCGCGATCTTGATCTAGATCGCGAAGCGCGAGATCCTTCAGACTCCGACGCTATTCTTCTCTTTCCACGAGGTGCGTTTTCGTTACCGCTCTCGTCCCTACAATGTATAAAGAAAAGAAAATAGAAAATTCTCATAATCCTTAAGATGTCGCAACTTGATTTTAAACCGAGAGAAATAACATACCCGCTCGCCATTTTACGATCTTTGCTATCACTGTCGGATTCACTGGTAGATATCGTTTCCTTGGATAAGAATCGCATGTTACTCTTCGATGTCTCCGCAACGGATTTGCGGAAATTCTTTTCCTTCTTGCCGCTGCCTGTTTTCCTGCCTCGTTTTGCTTTCGGACGATCGCTTTCTGAACCTGTAATTCGATTACATATAATTTAAATGAAGATGAAACTATAAATAAAAAAAAGAAATTGTAAAACGTCGATAATAGTAACTGAATAGTAACTGAAATATCTACAACGGGGCAATTTTTATAACAGTAAACAGACGTAGTAACAGTTCTTCATTGAAAAACGTACCCCCGCTGTCTCCACTGCCAGTGTCCTTCTTCCTCCGACCCTTGCCTTTGCCTTTCTTGTCTTTACTTTCTCCGCTAGCTTTTCGTTTACGTTTCTTCTCTCTTGGCGCTTCTTCTCTACCCTCGTCTCTTCCGGAACCACCACTATCACTAATATATTGATCCGTTCGAACCTTTTTGCCTTTCTTGCCTGGTTTCTCAGACGGCATTTCACCGAATACCAAAACATTCTTTGTCTTCTCTACAAACTCCTGCCTTTTCTGAAGCATTTCTTCTTCCTTTTGTCGGCGCATTTCTTCAAGTTTTCGTTGTTCCTCGGTTTGCCGCATTTTGAACGCTTGTCTGTAAAATGGTTTCAAACGCATTAGTGAAATTAAAAACTGCGATTCTTAATTCTCGATCTGCATATTTCCAGCGACGACATCGTTACCTTTCTTCCTCCTGTTTCTTTCTAAGCATTTTTTCTTCTTCGTCAAGTCTTCGAGCTCTTGCAACGTGATACTGAGCCTGCGATAACAGATCCTGACACTTCCTGGCTTCTGCATCTGCAAGCTGATCCATTCTGTCACCATGTGTTGCCAAGTATTGGAAGTACTTATGTGACAATCCCAATTCATGGACTGCTTGCAACACTGTCGTCAACGTAGATTTTTCGTCTTTGAGGATTTGCGTAGCTAATCGTTGAAGAACGAGAGCAATATTGAAAAGCAGCACTGTATCCTGTGGTGCTACCCTACGTGCCTAGCCATGAAGAACATTATTAGTATTAATAAAAGCAATAATAACTGTCACCCTTTTTAATAAATCAGTTATATATTAAATCATTACCTTCAGCAATGTCATTTTAGCTTCTTTCAATTTTCCAGCCTTGAAATACGCCCTTCCTAAGTATTGTAAAGCCTCGACGTGATGATACTTATAAAATTTTCGAAGGCAGTTTTCGTACTGTAAATAAATAACAAAATTAATCCTTTTACGCCGAAACTTCGTATTGAACGTTAATGTAAGAAAGCAGGACGTACCATTTGTATAGCACTAACAAATTGCTTCTGTTCTACATAAATGTGGGCGATGTTCAACCAGACGTCACAAAATTCTGCCGTTGCTTCTCTGACTTGAGCAAATATATCTCTAGCTTCGTTCACGCAACCTTTGTGAGCTAGGACTGCGCCGATGCCATTTGCAGCCCAAATATTTTTTGGATCATTTCTCAAAACCTAGACAACGTAAATATGTATTTTTAATTGCTTTTGTATATTGTTAAACATTAGAATGCAGTAAAAAGTCAAAATCTTGTTGTAAGATATATCTCAAATACTCATGTGCGTTTTGTTTACTGTAGTACTAAATAAAAATTACCTGCTTATACATGGCAAGTGCTCTGTCCTGATGTCTCTTCTCTCTATCTTTATCTTTTCCACTTTGATGAAGGGTTTGCAGCCAAATATTCCCCAATGCAATCAGAGAATAAGCATCTGTACTAGTGGAAGGATTCTTTAAAATTCTCTCAAATTTCTTTTGACCAGGGCCCCATTCCATTTTTGCCAAATGCAGATTTCCAAGCAAGGACCATGCATCTGGGTGTTCATTATTAATTCTAAGGGCATCCTTAAACCAATCAGAAGCTTCGTAAATTTGACCCTTATCTCTAGCGATGCAACCCAGTCTGAGGTAGCAGTCAACATAATTTGGATGTTCTTTCAAAATATCCTTGTATAGTTTTTCTGCCCTATCAAATACGCATAATGCTTCGTTAAGACGAGCTAAATTATATGTCGTTGTTACTGCTATTGAATTGTAATATACAGGATCATGTAATGCATCTTTCCTGGATCGAGCTAAAGACTCCTCCAAATTCTTTCGAGCCTCTTCCAGATTGCCAAGTCTAAAAAAAAATATTAATTTAATGTTAACAGTCACAGATTATGTAATATGAAAATCTACTACTAACCGGTAATGCAACGCGCCAACATTATTTAAGATTTCCGGCGGAATATCTGCTTCGACTTTTTCTTTCAGAATTCTTGTAGCAGTTCCATAAGCATTTAATGCTGCATTTAAATCACTCTGTTCTAATATCTGTGCCAATTCAATCCATGCCTCAACGTCGTCAGGAAATTGTTCCGTGACTTTCCTAAGATGATTTTTTGCAATATCCCTTTTTGACTGAGAACTTGAGTTAGCATATAATGAGCCAAGAATTTTCATGGTCTCATAATTCCCTGGCTGTGCTTTTAAAACTTTCTCAAAGCATTGCGCAGCCTTAAAACAAAACATTATAATTAGTTGTGTTTATTTCGTTCACAAGATTTAAATTAATAAGAACATCATAAATTAAATTATATACATACATTTTCAGCATCTCCTCGATACACATACATTTGTCCTAAACCAAAATGTGGTAACACGAAAACTGGCGGAGCAAACTGCGTAGCTTGGTAGTAATATTGAAAAGCTTGATCATAATCTCTCTAAAAACAATAAATCTTTAATAAAATTTTCATATCAATAGCGTAATAGCATAACTTATACATCTACTTTTTAAAGTATACCTTTCCAAAATGTTTATCACTAAATTTATATTACTCACCTGAACATGAAATGCTCTTGCAAGTTGGTAACAGCTTTCTGCTCTCATTGCTTCATTCTCGGTATTGTGAAATGCATGCAATGCTAAATGCTGAACTTTATTATAATCCTTCTTAAAGAAGAAATGATTAGCCAGATGGTTTAATACCATTGGATTCGTTGAATCAATAGTATATGCTTTGGATAACATTTGAACACCTGTCCTGATACTTTCTGGCTGCTGTTGATTTAACTTGAGAACTGAAAGACCGACCAAGGCGCCAACACATTGACCATCTAACTGTAGAGCTCTCTCAAATGCCAATCGTGCCTTTTCTTGATTATTTAACTTCATGAAACAATGACCCATTCCTAATCTCACCGCAGCAGGGCAATTAGGATTAGTTCTAAGAGCTTTCTTATAAAATGCCAATGCCCCTCTGTAATCTTTTTTATTGAATGCGATGCATGCTTTGCCAAGCAAAGAAGGTATATTATTTGGTGATTGATTCAAAACAAAGTTGAACTGTACATCGGCCTGTTCCATTTTGTCTCCTTCAAGGAGACAAAAATAGGCACGACCCAGTAAATGATTCTGTAAAAGGAATATAATCATAGATTAATTAAATCAGGCATAAACTATATCATAATATAATCATGAATTCAGAGAGTAGTTAACGTACCAAGTCATACATAATAATTTTTTCAGCAGTTGTATACAATAATGTGGCCTTTGTAAAAAGATCTCTCTTTCTGTCCTTGTTCTTCTCACGGTTCGCTTCCTGAACATAATATGCAGCCAACATGTCCAATGCACGCATTTGATCTTTTTCATAGTCACGGTAATCAATGTTTGCATCGATTCGTGATGATTCAAGGATTTTAATAAAATCTTCAATTTTGTGCTGTTTGTAGTATTCAAGCTGAAAAACAGAACGGTTATTACATATTTATAATTCCTAAGCACTTATTTACAATTTTTTGTTTACAACAAGATATTTAACATTTTCACTAAATGTTATCAAATACTTACGGCCAAATTGACCCACGTATTAAGTTGCGCATGTTCCTGACGTAAAATGCCAAGCACTTCATCACCTTCAGGTAATTGATCCAAGTATAATTCTATAACCTATAAATTGTAATTTTTAATATATATATCTTTTAACATAAGCAGACAATAAAGTAATACCCAGAGATAGATAAACAGGTTACAATCATTAATAAAAAAAGAATATAAATCGTGCAAAATATATCTTTTAAGAAATCCAATGTCAAATTATAAAAACAAACTTTTGTCTTGCACAAGTTAGTATGAAACAAATATCCTTTCATGTAAAATACAGATGTTACAAAAAAAATTGAAATAAATATTACAAATCAAATTAAGAGAATATAGTTGACGTTCATTTTATGTCCCATTACGTACAATTTCATGTCCATCGCAAGAACCCTTGAGTAAATTCGATAATATCTATACTTCAATGTCAGACAATAATAATAACAATATAAACACAATTTGAGCGTTTCTTTAAGAGAGTACGTCAACAAACTACAATAAGGAAACTTATGAAAATATTTATAAACTTTGTGACGGAGGAAATAAATAATATAGGTAATATGGAGGAGCGTTACTATGTAATTAGATTTGGATTTCCTAAGAGAATACTATATTAATAGAATTGATAGAGAGATCGCACGTGATAAAATCAACGCAGTAGAATAATACTCACCTCGTCCGTATCCCGGAGCGGTATCTCTATGGATCCCGCCATTGCACTGATGCACCAGTTCACACCTGTTACGTTATCCTGGCAAAACTTGCCTCCATTAATTGCAAGAGTCGAGCCTTCTTCGAGAGCTTTCAAATTAAAAATCAGATTGACGTAAACCAACGAAGCTAACCAGTCACTTTCTCGAAACTTAACCCAACATACTATCACATACTATACAAAACTACGAATCAGTTAACTGAACGTTCCATCAACTACCTTCGTTTCTGCCGCAGCTAAGCCAAGAGTGAGGTTAGAATCCTGATTGGTTGATAGATGCACTACGGCAATCAAAAACGGATTGTTCCAAATTTCAACTCTATTCCGTCATTGTAGAAAATTATATCTAAAAGTTTTGTTTTATTTTCTGTTAATATACGATATTGATCTTTGTCTTGATAAAGCAGAATATCTTATATTGAAAAAATAGGAAAACGCGAAATTTACCGTTTACTGTTGTTAACCGAATCCTTAACCGCGTTTCCAGGATGATTACCAGGATCCTTAAAACCTGCGAAAAGCAGCGCCACTCAGATGGAACTATACCCAGATTCCTTTACTCATTTAAATGGATATTTGTATTTATTTATCTTAGCAACTTTTAAATTCCCTGATAATCGCATAAAGAAGAATATATTATATATGTGTGTATTTCCATTATAAATTTACAACTTGAGAATAAAAAGAATTTCATAGCCGCAGAGAAGGCAGAAAAGAAAGCAAAATACTTCACTGCCCGTATTCTGTCCCTTTAACATTATATATTTTAATCAAGTAAATATAAATACAAATACAATTTAAGTCACGTGTATTTTCACTAGCTTATAATTATACATATCGTTACATGATTTTTTTTATGTTTTCCAACAATTATTGAATAATAACGAATAAAACAACTTCTTGTAGCAACATTCCGATTTAACCATTTTGTAAGATACATTCTTTTATAATGTTCGTAAAAATATTCAAAAGTAACTTTCAGCTGTTATCGAATGCCCAATGAGGTCAAATGTCACAAATTCAAGTTATTATATTGACTTATTTCGAAATTACGTTTCAGTGTAATTATACTAGTTCCCAAAACTATTCCTGTAACTTCGGCAAATAGGACGTGTCTAATAAGTTCTTGCATTATTTTAGACAGAATAATGCGCTGAATTGATGAGATATTCAACTAACAATTTGATATTATAACCTTCCCAACGATCAAATGTTATTGCTGTTGCATTCTGATATTTGTACTGGATGTATTTTGGTTTTCCTTAAACGACAGATTTTTAGGTAATTTGGTTATTACGCAATACATAATAATCATGTTATGAATCATAATTTAATCACCTGCTAGTATATTCAGTAAAACAATCAATAGTACCGATTTTCAATTAGACTTGTAGAATCGTTATGGATGCAATTAGTTCTTACGAGACGTTGTCCTATGTGATGTCGAAGTACGGTGAAGCGATGTCATCGTCGAAACAAGTATTGCAAGAGTTACGAATGGAAACTCAGAAAGCTGCTGCAATAATTCCAACATTGGACGGTTTACCGTCATCATGTAACAATTCAGCAATAAATAATGACAAAAATCAATCCCGTGAATCACTGAACAAGCACCTTGGAAAAACCAAAAGAGAAAAAAATAATGTTACCAAATCTCACTCATTTGATCCACGAAGTGCAGTAATGAATGAATTTGAAAAAGAGCTATCGAGATATGAGAATTTAGGTCGGGTATGTGTAACGAATATTAAGAATGGTAACACTATTTTAAAGAGTGCGATTTTTAGTACCAGCAGACTCTTGTTCCTAACGAAAATGAATACGAGACATGAGAGTATGTTATACTAAAATTGTTTGTTCACCTTAAGGCATTGTGGCTTCAGGCTTTCTTGGACATGGCCAATCATCTTCAAACCTTTAGGCCTCGTTTTCAAGGAAGGTGGCAAATGTATAAAGAAAGTATTCCGGTCCAAGAGATTACTTTTACTGGCCCTATTGCAATTAATGATAATGTACTGTTGAAGGAGAAAGAAAAACTGATTCTTTTGGCACAAAAGGTATTCGATTAGCGTTCCATGTCCACTTCTGTTCACTGCTTCATGATTCAAATACAGATTTCAAAGGGCGAAAACTGAATCGTTTTTTACATTTACTTTAGATCAATTTGCGCTTGTTTATTTAAAACTCTGCTAAATAGGGCATGTTTAGCATTCTTCTGCAGTTTTCAAATTCCTCTTATTCTTTAGTTCATTGATATCATGACTGATGATATGGATATAAATAAAACGCCGTATTCTTGACACTGGTTTCAAAGTGCGAGTTCTACCGAAATGTTAATCGAAAAAGAGGAGCGTCCTCCGCGAGATATCAGCATCTCAATAACAGTTATATAACAGATATGCTGGAATGCCAAGAATTCTTAAAACATTAGCCACGTAGTTATTACAACATTATAACGCCCCATTTAATGTCATTTATAGGATTTGCTAGAGAAATATTTATATTTGTCGGTGTGTAATTTTCAGAATTGGTTTACTTATTGACGTTTAAGTATGTTCACAAAATATGTTTATACATAATGAGAAAAAATAAGCACTTGTTAAAAGTAACTTAGATTCCTTAGTAATCAGGAAACTCGGTAGAGTTTCGCGCCAAATACATTTAGAAGCATGCGCGAACGGTACTGCTTAACGTCAAACTTCGATAAATGAAATTAATAAATATTTATTTCTCTGTTAAGAGGATGTATCATGAGGTTTAATTTACTTTATAATTTGTACATCAAACATATTTTAGACGACATTTATATGGGATAGTTTACGTTGATTTCATGGAACGCTTATAACTCTGCAAAATGCGTAATCTTCATTTATGAATAATTTTAGATACAAACCAAAACACAGATTTCTTTGTCACAGCACCGAAGAAAGCCACGTTCCTATGAAATAAATAGAAGGATATTGGACAAAGGTTGTTCAGAATTGATTACTCCAAAATTAGGATCCAAATACTGTTTCGATGCCACCCCTCGGAGAAGTTATAGAGCAGGTGAATTAATACTTTAAACATTTACTTATTTACAGTATTTAATGACGCACCTCATTTTACAAATCAATTAACGTATATTATTTTTTACTTTATATGACTATGATTTTCATGATTTCAGAACATTGTGTTCCCTGTTCACCGGCTAGTTACTCAAAAACATCTAAATCGCAATTCAGTCCGAAAAAAATTATAAAGTGCAAGCATTACTGTCTCCAAAAAATGTATTAGATTTATTTAAATTGTACTCAGGACCTAGTTCTTCGAAAATCACAAATAAAGCTTTTTCGTTGTAATTAAATGTTATTGCGGTACTACTTTCATTGTTACTCCGGCACTGAATATTTTTCTGTCTTGTTGTATATGAATATGTCTTCATATAAATCATTAGGTGTACAATGTGACCGTGTGCAAAGAAAAGTACTGATATAACTATTTAACTTAACTAATAATTTCGAAAACTGAGTAACTATTATTTCGACTGGGAATTCTATGTCAGTAGGTGTGTTTTAGAAAGCTGAAAGAGATTCCAAATGTTAGTAAGTATATTCTCTACTGTCAAATCTACTGAAGCAAAAAACATAATTCACTTTGTACCTCTCCTTTGCACATTTTTCCTTTCATATTAGTGCGATGTAGCTTTTTATAAGTGAGCTCCGTCTTTATTAATGTGGTGATAGGCTCACATACATTACTATAATTAAGCAATAATTAGGAGAGCTTAAGATTGTTGTGCATACGATACACCTCTATCTTGTTTTCTCAGAGACATCGTCTTATTGCTCTGCTTGATGGCACAAAACCGTAGGAAGCGATAACAATTCTTGACCTCTAACCACAGACTATATTGTCATTGACGTTTTTGCGGGATGGTTAAGCCATTATCCTGAATTTAAAAAACATCTGTAGAAAAATGAAAAACGAGGATTATATGACATAAAATACCATAAATAAGAGTCCCGACATTATTACAATAATGCATTAGATGCTAAATACTCTTCAAAGAAAAAAAAAAATTGACTTTACTATATTATGACCGTGTAATAATTCCAAATGCTGTACAAATGTAATTTCCTTATTTGTCAAAGATGAACGATGTTTACGATAATTACCATGTATTGTAGTAAAAAAGAAACTAAAGCTAATATTATAATACATAGTTCATTTATTTCAGCAACTATTTAAACTGCAACTCATTTTTAAGTCACTAAATGTGTAATGTTAAAAAATGAAATCAATTACTACGGTAATGTTCAATGTACAATAATATTTTATCTTCTTATGCGTACACTGTACAGCATGCAGATTAGTTATTTGACAAAGTGATTTTTATACATCAAAAATCAAAATGTTAGAATGAAGTTATTAACCCAAACTAAATAATGGAAATAAGATAAGTATATGATGGCAGTTATTGACATCTTGTGAAATTACACGTTGTTAAGAGGTCTATTACCTACTAATCTAAATGTTTATGCCAATGCAATGCTGTAAATGTACTTTAATCTTTATGCACGGTAAGTTCACCGATTGCTACCCATCCCTTAAATGTTTGTTACTAATACGCTATTATCTGCGAAATAGATCCTAAACCATAAACATTTGAATACGGCATTTAACGACATAAGAAGAATACGCTAATAAATAGCATTAAAATTCGTTTCTTTGCAAAAAAACCATAATATTAGAACAATCTTACAATATTACATTACCTTTTCCCTTGAGGCTCCCACAAAATCAAATTTATTAAATGTTTTATAAATTGTTATATTTCATCACAAGAACGATTATTTTTCTTATAACACTTGAGTTACATTACTGCCGTTTAAAAGTGATGTGAAAACATAAGCACTGTTATTTATCCATACAATTAAACATTTATAAACCTGCTTGGCGAAAATCTTTGTGGAAGCAATTAACGTCTCAGAGCTTTCAGCTCCGTTGAAGAAATCTAAATATTAACTTCATTCAGGATATTAATTAGCTTACTCTTTGACATGCATTTATGAGTACAGCACGCATTTACATCGTGTGATGAGCTTTCGTAACATATTTACAGACACGTATGCCGATAGATGAATAAGGTACCAAAACGAAATGATAAGAGTACACACATACGTAAAGTATCACTGTGGAGGAAAGTTACTCTGTTGCATTTATTTTTGACGTGATGAAGGTATCACAGTAATTAAATCTTATTAATGCCAGTTGTCTCCGTAAATGTATAAACCATCAGAGTTCAAGTGTGTCATTAAGGGGTGACATTAGTGATTTGGAATATCACCATTTCGTAGCCAGATTAACCGGTCATAATTTCACCGTATGCGTGAACGTTACTTTAATTTTCCTCGATCAGAAATAAATTTTACTGAACCGAAATGATGAAAGATTATTGGAATCTACCCCCTTGCATTTGTCCTCTTCAAGTTCACGTAAAATAAATGTGATATTAGACATTATTAGTATGAAATATTGAAGATATTTAAAAAAAAGTATGTCAGGGAACTTTTTCTTAACGAAGCGTTATTTTGTATTAAATTGAAACTAGACTATATTATCTCTGATACTACTATTTTACGTAGCAGTGGTTATAAACAGTTAAATCACTTATATATTTTTTATGATATTATAGACGTAAACATGCATTAAATTATTTGAATTGGGAAAAAAAGACCACCTCTGCGGAAAACACTCTTCGATAATTCTTTCAATCGATGTTTTTTTTTACTTTCCACCATTATATTATAATGCTAAGAGTTCCGTCATCGTTCATTACTCTGCATATAAATATCAGTTCAAAAGTAACGTTGAATTTCATTTTATAAAATTCCGGAGCTAATAATTTCTAAGCTAGAAACTTCCCTTCGAGAATGCTCCTTTGAATAGTTCTCGACCATCCACAGCAGTTCTTAAGGAACCTCCATAGTGTTGAAGGTCGCCGAACTCGATTTTTGTTTTTGATCGATCAAAAAGAGCTTTATCAAGTTGGAGAAGGTGTATTGTTCAGCCGTAGAATGGTTAATGAGCTATAAATCTTATAAATTATATTTTCTCTATAAAAATCATAAAACCCTGAACACTTTTTTCTCAAAACAGCATTTTTAAAAGAACGACCAGAACATTTCAAAATCGGTTGATTGAATTCATTTGAAACTTTGGTTACATTCAATGAATGTCTAACACCTGCTGGAACTAAAACTTTTCAATTCATGCAGAGTTCCAAAATGTACGATTAAAAAAATAAACTGCCTTTTTACACAAAAGTAAAACTTCGTTTGAAAATGTCGCCATTTTAGTTCTTTTCGACATATCTAGATAATCCTAGTTTCAACGATAGCCGTACTTACGTAGAATAAGAATCATTTTGCTTTTTTTTTCTGTTACAACCATCTACAACAGCCAATATCACGGTTACCATCGAGAAACATTTCTCTCAAGCACTCCAGTCAATTACGTATAACTCTGTAACAATTCAGTATTTTTACTTGAAAACGGTATGGTCTTAAAATGTAGCTAAATATACAGAAAAGTTGTCGAGTTAATAAGACGTATACTTTCCTTTTTAAATTCCCGTAAATCACCGTATTTTTCAGCTGTCAACGGTAGGCTGAAGAAGAACGTCCGTTAAGAACTCTGTCTTTACGAACGATATCAGTCCTTTTTCCTCCCTCCAGAAAAAAAGCGATCATTTCCGAACAGCTATCGGGATGACGAGAAGCGAAATCGATTGTTGCCGAAGCGCGCTTAACTTTGTCGGGACGATACGCCGCAGGTTACCGGGGTTATAACGACCTAAACTGGCGACTATAAAAGCCCGAACATAATGTCGACCGGCACTCTTCGCTTCTTGCTTAGCAGTTTGAAGTAGTCGCTCCCGAAGATGCTGAAAGAGTTCCTGGTGATGGCCCTGGCGGCATTTTGCCTGTCAGAGGCATATACCCCATCCCCGCTGCGGACGGCCGACATGGACTATCTGCAAAAGCAGACCAAGATCTACGACTTGTTCCGATACATCAACCAGGAGATGCCAAAGGACCAAGACGGCTACGAGCTAGGAAGCACCTACGAATTCAGCAGTTATTACGACTATTACACCAACAAAGTACGGCCTTCTCGAAGTTCCTCGCCTTCTTTGAGTAACACCATTATTGTACAAAAGAATTCCATTTTCATTCGGTGCACCGTCAAAGTTAGCACTTGGTCAGTTGATCCGTCGTCATTTGTCGGGAACCACATTGTCCTTCTCGTAAAACTTCAAATTGCAACGATGTTAATATTAGAGAAAAACGTCTTAACTTAGATTTATAAAGGATAATTTGCATTTGGAATTGAAAAATGAAGTCAGTGTAACGATACTAAGCGTTTCCCTCTGGATTTTCAGGCTGCCATCGACTACTACCTGCAGAAATACAAGTACAACCGCCTGAACCAGGATGCCATTTTCAGCATCTTCTATCCAGAGCACCGTGACGAGGTCAAGGCTCTCTTCAAGGTGTTCTACTACGCCAAGGACTTCCAGACCTTCTACAAGACAGCCTGCTGGGCTCGAATGAACACCAACAGTGGAGTTTTCCTGTACGCTTTTAGCGCTGCCGTATCCTACCGTCCGGACACCAAGTACATCCGTCTTCCTACACCCTATGAAGTCTTCCCGAGCTACTTCTTCGAAGCCCCGGTCATCCAGCAGGCTCAGTACATCAAGATGGCCCGCGGTAAGAAACTAATTTATGCACCAAAAACTGGATTGAACGAAGCACAAAGAATTAAACATTCATTGAACCAATTCGTTGGCTTACCAAAGTGCAGTTGGTGCACCACAAAAGTCTCTTGCTGCAGGAGCGATATTCCACTGGGAATTAAATTTCTGATATAGCGATATATGATAGAATTTCGGCAATAATGTTGGCTTTGGTAAATATGTTTTCTGCCAATCTGGGTAAACAGCGGTTGTCAAAGGCTGGGTAAACAGATGGTTGTCAAAGGAAGTCTTCTAAGGACTAAATGTCGTTCTCCGGTAACGCGTGATCCACTGGTCTAAGACCTGATGTCTTCACTTTTCCTCTCAGGTTACTCGAAGGCATCCACTGGAGTCGACAACTATGTGATCTACGCCAACTACACCGACAACTATCAGCGCCAGCAATACGAGAACGAGTACCAGCTCGACTACTTCATAGAAGACATTGGCCTGAACGCCTACTACTACTACTGCCGCACCCTTCTGCCTTACTGGCTGACTAGCAAGGACTACGGTATTCCAAAGGACATCCGTGGAGACCTGTACTACTACATCCACAAGCAGCTCTTGTCCCGCTACTATCTGGAGCGTCTGTCCAACGACTTGGGAGAAATCGAGGACTTCGACTGGAACAAACCCTTCATCCCAGGATTCTACTCCAACTTGCAGTACCCCAACGGCGTATTCTTCCCTCAGCGTGAGGTGTACTCCCAAGTTCCAGAATACAAGTACAAATACCTTAAGGTAAAACTTTTTCTTCCTGTACAACAATTTTACCTGACTTAATCTGTTTTAATACAACAATAGAACTTGTCGCGTTCAAGTAGAAAGGTAGAAGTTGAATATAGCTTGTCTCGGGAGAAATATGGACATTTTTATGACCTCAGGTAGCATAGATATGTGCAACACCTTTCATTAATGTATCGTATGGACGTGACATAACGATTTCCCTAGGTTAGACGTTAATGTTGTACCATTTTCTAGTACATCCAAGCGTACGAATCTCGCATCCTTGCGGCCGTAGACAGCGGATACGCCATTGACAAGGAGGGCAGACAGTACAACATATATTCTTCCGAAGGCATAAACATCCTGGGTAACATGATTGAAGGAAACTACGACTCCTACAACTACTACTACTACGGCTCCGTAGACTACTACTCGAGACAAATCCTGGGCTTCAACTGGGAATGCTATAACCCTGACAAGTGTACGCCTAGCGCTCTTCAACAGTACAGCACGAGCATGAGAGACCCGGCCTTCTACAAACTGTACAAGAGAATAATGTACCTGTTCTTCAGGTCGGTACCATCGCGCGAATCTTGTAAAACGAGTTCGGAAAAAGTACCGCTCGAAAGAGTTCGGAACATCATGAATTTCTTTTACTGTACCCTTTCTTAAATCTACCAATGTAGATCCGAACGACCCGAAGAGTGAATATGAATTTATCGCGCGTACCCTCTGTTTTCAGATACAAGGAACGTCTCCCATCCTACACTTACGATGAACTCGTCTACCCCGAACTCAAGATCGAGTCCGTCACCGTGGACAAACTGACGACGTACTTCGACTACTACGACGCCTGGATCAACAATGCCGTTGGCGTGGAGAACATGAAAGATGGACAGTCCTTCAACATCAAGGCCAGACAATACCGTCTGAACTACAAGCCATACACCTACCAAATCCAGGTGAACAGCCAGAAATCGACTAAGGCCGTCATCCGTATCTTCTTGGGGCCATATTACGACTACATCCAGGATGATGCCTACTATTTCCAAAAGTACTACATGAACTTCTATGAGCTCGACCAGTTCGTAGTGAACCGTAAGTAGAAAATCAGTAAATTCGAGATAAGTCCCCAGATATAGTGGTAGCGACCGTTTTAATATTTCCTTCCTAAAATTTCAGTATCTCCTGGTGCGAACAACATCCTGCGCCGCAGCACCGAGTCCGTTTTCACTATCCCTGAAGACTCCACCGAGGACTCCTTCTACAGGAAGATGAAGAAGGCTACGGAGGGCAGCGAACCGTTTACGTACTCCGAGAAACTTTACGGTTTTCCTCAACGCCTTCTTCTTCCCAAGGGCAAACGCGCCGGCATGTACTATAAGCTCTTCTTCTACGTAAGCCCGCTCGACGACTATAAGAGCTACAACTACGACTTCCCGTTGTATGGAAAGATCAACTACGACAGCAAACCCCTGGGATACCCCTTGGACAGACCCATGTACACGTATAACTACACGATGCCTAACGCGTACTTTAAGGATGTTCAGATCTACCACAATTACGAGGGAGAGTACAGTTCCTGAACGTTTAAGCGAGCTGCGTGCTTTTATTGTCGATATATCTAAATATCATCCCATGTTCTAAGTAATTAATATTAATGCGTTGAGAAGTACACATGAATAAAGTCTCAAATTTGATTCTGTGAAACTATCGTATTATTTGCATCATTTTCCTTCCCAGCTGGAGACATTCGATACGAATTGGCTTGATTGGTTATATTCTAAAAATCATTAACCAGGTCTAATATTCATGGCACGTTTGAGCGCGTAGGAGAAATTCTTAGATGAGAAATTATTGGCAAACGAAGAAATTGTCTAGGTGACATTTAAACTGAATGAAATTATAAAAATGCTGTTATGACTGCTGTATGTTTTAATTTGTCATGCGCATTGCAAAGTTAGACATGTTTTAGGTTTTCCTGGAAAAATGGTAATTTCGAATAATTTATATTATAATTGCTTGTTACCGGTTCAAAGTTAACTGTTCCGTTATTTGAAACCGTCTTAGAGTTGCTCCTACCTTGCATGCATTAAGTATGTATTTAGTATTTATTTATCGGAAATAAATTTCGCCTTAGTTGTACCACCTGTCTATATTAAAAAATAAATTTTTGTATAAATTCGTCACATATTTTATTTACGTTAAGACAAATGATCTACAATTTCCATAACAAAAGAGGGTCCGGTTGTACTTTAGATTTAATAAAAACTTACATAGCTGAATTATATCCGGACTCAAACATTTTTATTAAAATCCTCTTATTTTCATCGATATGCAACTTTTCTTTTTAATATACGATCAATATCAATCATCGTGTAAAGTACGATTGTTATTTATAAAACCATTCAATTCATTCGGTTCAAAGGTAAGAAAAACTGCAACAATTTTAATGCTAATTAAACAATGATATGAAAATAATTGCAATATCAGGACGTTATTCAATATCTGGTTCTTAAATTTAGTCACTGATGTAGTCTTTAAATAATTATGAGTCGTTATACATTCAAATGGTAAGCGGTGAAAATATTATTTAACAGCTGATAATAGAAATTGATATTAAACGTTGAAGTTCATGGCAAAAATTGATATAAATGCGCACACTCATACAAGTAGATAATTCTACTGCTACTCCCCTTCTTTTTATGCATAGCAATGATTACTTTTATCATCGTTTACTAAACTTCTGATTCATATGAATGGTCACTTGAGATAGCCTTGCTTATGAGTAAACAAGAGTAATTAAGAAGGCAAAAGATCACCGTATTCAAAACAGATTTAAACGCCTCATAATCAGCTGATGTTTCATTTTGGTTAAGAAACAAATAATTCTAAGCCGATATGTTTCATTTCTTTATTAACCTAAGGTAATCTGTTACAGTGATGATAATCAACTTAAATTTTTTACTAATACATAATGAATAACTATGCTCGCAGAAAGCATTACATACGACGTGTAGATATTTAATTTTTACCATTATTCTTAATATACGAAGTTATTCTAATCGCATCGATAATAAGCCGGTGTTAAAATTTCGAAATGTCATTTACAAATACTCTGTACTCCGATGGTACAGAGTAGCTAGTATTTTCGTACAGAAAATTATAAACGTCGATTTTTTTTACGTCAGATGTAATACCGCCACTATTAATAAAACTGCTCATGCTTTTGTGTAAATGAAGCGTTTAACGTAATTTACACTAGACTGTACTATGTTATTATCACCTTGATTGTCATAAATAAGTTTAATTAAACCATTCAGAGTTTGTTGTATTTTACCGTCACTGCCACTACGAAAAATCTGTTCACTGCAAACATATGCTAGACAAACATGTAGATAATTATATCTAGTTGTACCAAAGTGGTATCCATAAAGAAATAATAAGTATTAATTGCGGTTTGTCTTTTATCACCAGTTAATATCCAACTATAATGGGTAAAAATAATAAGTAGCGTTGATTTAAATTACAGCTTGTAATGCTGCCGACATCTGATCATATATTTGATCCTTTATCGCCAAAGCTCATAGCAATGTTAACATATTTTGCTTAAATGTGGTGAATGTTCAAATTCACCTTATTCGGTACACTCAAGTGAAATCTTGACCCGCCACATACTAATACTTTCGTTGAAATGGTATAATGCTAATATTAAGAAGTTCAACAAAAATACAATGCCCCTTGTTATACAACATAATATTATTAACTAACAGCCCACACGAAAATGTAATGTACACAACTCTCAGGATTCGAAATCTGAAATAAATATTTTTCTATCAATAGCATTTGAGGTAGAAAGAACAAAATATTTGTTGAAAGCATTAACACAATTCGATGTGAAAATACTATAATGTAAAGTGAACGTACATATCTAATAAAAAGCTTCCGACTGAATAATGACATTTGTTACACTTAATATCCATCCATTCCTTCGTACAAGTAAATGAACGTCTCATCGACGAAATGTCTGAATGTTGCAATTTCTGCACCGTTTATCAACTCATTATTAAAGCAGCTTGACATAACTAAACAACTATTAATACCCCCACGACACTTAGTGTTGAAAAAACAGAGTGATCGCAGCACATGCACGCAAAAGATAGAGATTAATATAGAATGTTCGAGTAATCATCAAAACCAACAATAGTTATCGTTATTACACATTCAGCGACAACGAGTTGCAGTTTGTCGTAATTCTGTATTATTTGCCCCGACCATTGGGTATTAATCATAGATCCCTCTTCCCGATAACTGCCTCCGATTAAGGATCCCCGAAAAGTAGTCTTTTAAATTCTGGCATGTACATCTTTTTAAGACACAAGAGATAAATCGAGGAAAGGTACGCGAGATGCCAAAAAAATTCGTACAGGTTGGCGGTGGCATCCCGGATTTGCACGGTGAAAAGTAGCTGAAAAGTCCCCGAAAAGTAGCCTTTTAAATTCTGGCATGTACATCTTTTTAAGACACATAAGAGATAAATCGAGGAAAGGTACGCGAGATGCCAGAAAATTCGTACCGGTTGGCGGTGGCATCCCGGATTTGCACGGTGTCAAAGGGCATTCGATAATGCGACCTGCAGGCCGATATGGTGTCAGCACAGTCCAGGATTTCTCTAATCTTACCGCAGCCGATTATCGTCGTCGGTCACCTCGAAGGTTGACGTCCGTGCAGATTTTCGGGTGTCAGAGGTCCCCGATAGAACGATCGAACGATCGGTATAAAACATATCGAAATGGGCCGATGGGCGTACTTCGACGTGGTTAGACCGTAAGCTCGGTCGGATAGCACACGGAAAGAAGGCCAAGACTAAAGATGAGGAACCTGGTGGTCTTCGCGTTGACATGCGTGTCGCTGGTATGCGCACAGTACGCGGTATCTGACAAAGGGTTCTTGATAAAGCAGAAGAACGTCTACGAGCTCTTCTGGCACGTCGACCAGCCTACCGTCTACCACCCTGAACTCTACCAAAAAGCCCGTTCCTACAGCATCGAGGACAACGTTGACTCCTACACCAACAAGGTATATCCCCAGGAAGCCACGGAAAGGTGGCATCCTTCTGAATAGGATAAAGCATTACCTAAATTGTCTATTTCCTGGTTAAAGCGTATTTTTCACCTGAAATAGGGCATTTTATGAAAAAATATCAAATCTCCGTAAAGAACATTGCCATTCGTAATTTGCGGTACACTGAGCGAAAAAAATCATCTTCCGTGAAAAGAGGAATTCTTGCTAGAAAAAGATCGTTACTTCCAATTATCGACAAAATAAAATGTAGAGTCGATTGAATGAAATTGATATAAACTTGAAACGATATTCAATTTTCTCGAGCTTTCATCTAGGTCTTGTTATTCATAATCATTATTGTATTGATTTTCTGTATAAGATCTTCCGTAGTGGAAGCATTTTTATATCAGATATAAACGGCTTGGAATGAAAAGTTGATTCACTTGAAAAAGTGAGAGACTTTAACGGATTTAATAATATTCTTGGACCAAACTGAATTTGATTGATTTATAGTACATCCGATGATTTTTCTCAAAACTATCACTTACCAGTGGATTTACTCCTGCATCAACTTGGAACAATAGATAACAGTTTTTTCTCTAATATTTTTGTATCAAGTATTAAGTTATTTGAGTTAAATACATTTTATCCCAAAATTATCCGTTGTTAATTGCATTAGTATATAACAAACGATTCTAGGCCGCAGTAAACGAGTTCGTCAGCCGCTGGAAATATGGCATGCTTCCACGTGGGGAGGTTTTCTCCGTCCTGTATCCAGCACACTATGAAGAAGCCATGGCCCTTTTCCGGGTGTTCTACTACGCCAAGGACTTTGACACCTTCTACAACACCGCAGTCTGGGCAAGATTCAACGTAAACGAGGGCATGTACGTTTACGTTCTGTCGATTGCCGTACTCCACCGACCAGACACCAAATACGTCCGCATACCACCAATGTACGAAGTCATGCCCAACTTCTTCTACAACACGGAAGTGATCCAGAAGGGACACCACATTGGCATGGGAGAGACAAGTAAAGTCCTTCATTCAATCTTTTCATTCAGGGTCATGTTGGCTAATTTCAAGAAGTAACGGATTTCTCTGCAAATATTGTTTGAACCGATAAAGAAAATGGTTGGTGTAGTTGGATACTTAAGAACCTGTTGCCAAAGTTGAAGTTTTTTTTGAATGAGTCAAATTTTCTACAAGTCCAGGTGATAGCTCATGGTCTTGCTTTTGGAAACATGATTTAGAAAAATATCGACTTTGTTTGAATGAACGTTGTTTTCCAGCCGCGAAAAAAAGCGCTGGTGGCGTCGACCTGTACGTTGTACACGCCAATTACAGCGGATGGTACCTGAACCATCAAGAGGACCACGAGCATCAGATCAACTATTACACCGAAGACATTGGCCTGAACTACTACTACTTCCTGTCCACCCACGAATTCCCCTTCTGGATGAACTCTGCCGAATACAACTTCCCCAAGGGAGTCCGTGGTGAATCTTACTATTTCAACCACAAACAACTGCTCCTCCGTTACTACTTCGAACGTCTTTCCAACAACATGGGAGAGATCGAGCACCTAGACTGGCACAAACCCATTGTCACTGGATACTACCCAACCCTGACCTACCACAATGGTCTTCCCTTCCCCGAACGTCACTCAGGAGCTGAAATTCCCCTGGAGAAATACGAACACGTTAAGGTTTGTTGCATTCTTTAAATTTTAACTAAAAACTAGGTTGCTACATTTTTAAAGATAAATTTGGGGTTTCGCTAAAACGTCAGTCAGTTAAACGTTCATCTTTTAAACGCTCTATCTAAATCTGGAAGAACGAGTCAAAGTTTAATTTAATCACTTCTGCAAACAAAATATCCGTGAACTTGGAATCCCAGGTTCTAGATAATTCCAACGCTATTCTTTTTAACGCGTTTGATATGCTTGAGTTAAAAGAATGAGAATTATTTCATGTTTCATGTGTTATATATGCAATTTGCTCTTTAACTCGTCATGGTTCTTAAACGTTTCAGGACGTTATGGATTACGAAACACGCATCAGCGCCGCCATTGACATTGGATACGTTTTCGACGAGAACCACAAGCCCGTTGACATCTACACCCCCGAGGGTTTCGACATCCTCGGTAACATAATCGAAGGAAACGCTGACTCCTACAACTACAAATTCTACGGATCTCTGGACCAACTCTGCAGAAAGATCCTCGGCTTCAGCTTGGAGCCTACGACGAAGTACCAGACCGCTCCCAGTGCCCTTGAAATTTTCAGCACCAGCTGCAGAGACCCTGCCTTCTACAGATTATACAAGAAAATCGTCACCTACTTTATGCGGTACGACACTTTGAGTGCAACCACTTGATCCATAAATGCATTTCCTCGCACAATTATCATATTCTAAATTTATCCTGGGGCCATTTTACCCAGAAATGTCCACGATTACGCATTATCCGTGAAACATCATCGTTTAATTTTCAATTTGCACTACGGTAAACGACTCTGGAAGAAAGTGAAAACAATTATACAATTATGTTGTAATTTCAGATACAAGGCGCATCTTCCCGCCTACACTCACGACGAGTTGGCCTTCCCTGGCGTTAAAGTAGAATCCGTGGCAGTAGATAAGCTCATGACCTTCTTCGACTACTTCGAGTCCATGATCAGCAATGCCGTAGGCGTGCACAACTACAAGGATGCTCAGAACACCATCATCAAGGCTCGTCAGTACCGCCTGAACCACAAACCGTTCACCTACCACATCACCGTGAACAGCGACAAGAACACCAAGGCAACCGTCCGCGTCTTCCTTGGACCCAAATATGACCTTCATCATTACGAACATGACATCAGCGAGAACTACATGAACTTCATGGAAGTCGACAAATGGGTCGTTGAACGTTAGTACCTTGCTCATCGCTCTTACGACGTTTAAGGTGATGCGAATGTGGCGTCAGAGAAGTTTCGTTTATGAAACTTTTCTCCAAAATGGCTCCGAATCGATTCAAACTTTACAACGTGAACATGAAGGCTATAAGGGAAATTCTGACCTGATCCCAATGAAATTTTAATTTTTTTTAAATTGGTTTACAGATATTTTTCAAATTTTGTATAAAAAATGAAATTTCATGGGTATCGGGACCTTCCTTAAAGCCTCCACGTTCACTTTATAAAGTGTGATACTATTCGGTACACCCAATTCGTAGAAAAGTTTCATGAACGATTGACTTCTCAGATGCCACTTTCACATCCCCTTAAGTCAGAACATTCTACAATGTTCTAACTTTAAGCGGTTCTACTCCCGCAAAGAATTCAGAAGTTCCATAGAAACCTAGACCCTATGTCAGCGCTTGATGCTTTAAAAGTTGGCTAACAAACCAGGAGTGGGGGGTAAAAAAGAGATCGCATGTGTTAGCCAACAGTATCTTACATGCGGGAGGAAGAGAGATGCATGTAGAATGGCGAGTACTGTGTGTAAGATGAAGAAAGAATGCAATCCGCTACATATCGCCGTAAGATTATGAGACGGAGAGATGATTACAGCGCCGCCATCCATTGACTAACTAACTATTTATACTATTTATCAAGCTACAAACGTCTGTATCCTTCTGGGCTTCTATAGAGGCTTCTGAATTCTTTGATTCACGGTATATTTTGATTACAGTCAAGGCCGGCATCAACAAGATCGAGCGCAGCAGTCACGAGTCGATCTACGTTGTTCCCGACGAGGTTGCCAGCGACATCTTCTACAAGAAGACCCTAAAAGCCATCGAAGGCAGCGAGGCCTTCCCCTACAAGTCTCCCCGTTACGGATACCCTGACCGTTTGATGCTCCCTAAGGGCAAGAAAGAGGGTATGCCATTCAAGCTATTCGTCTTCGTCAGCCAGTTCGACGACACGCATTCTCAGAAGATCGACTCCGTGATCTGGGGCAACGTAGTTCTGGATGGCAAATCCATGGGCTACCCATTGGACAGGCCGGTGCATGCTTACAACTTTAGCGTACCGAACATGTATTTCAAAGACGTTGTCATCTACCACAAAGATGTAGAAGAGCTGAACCTCACCGTCTGAGTATCCGCCGTTATAGGACCGGCTGCTCTCACCGAGCTTCGGGTTATTTAACCGATGTGTAGTTCATGATGCTTTTTTAATAAAGTCGAATGATTTCCACGTTCAACTGTAGTCTTTACTGTTGAAACGTTCTATCCACTATCCAATGTCCAATGATTACAAGTCAGAAAGTAATACCTATGGTAATGTAAAAATAAATTATTAAGTACCATTACTCTGAAGTTAATTGAAAATGCTCCAACATATTTAACATAAGTAATTTTGACTATCATATGCCTAAGTTGTTCGTGGTGAATCTGACCAGGTACTTTAATGTCGAAAATTTCGGGAGAACCTTTCTGATAACGATGAAAGTGTTATATTAATCTAATTTAACATGTAACCCAACATTCGGATCTCTTTCTTATCGAACTGCGACACGTTTGCACAGTGAATTTCGAGATCCAAAACAAGTTCTATTGACCACGAGTGGACTTGCGGCATATTCGTGATCGAATCCTTTTAAAAAATCGCGCCACTTGTACAAACGGGTTCATCTAATTTGAGAACACCTGGAGCAACCTGGAGTCCCCCCCCCCCTGGTTGTTCTGCTGATCTCGAATTGATCTCTCGAGCTAGTGGCTGCGATTTTTTTTGGAGGAGATATAGGGTTTTGAAGTTTTTGTGAGGAGTTCATCGCTTTTTCAGCCGGTTCTCGGACTGCCCAGAGTTGTAACAGGTGGCAAGTGCATTAGCCGTCTGCATCCTCCACCAGAGGTCGCACAGGACGCGGTCGCTCGATCCTTCCCATGAATCTCTCAACTCATCTTTGGTCCATCAGAGATGAGTTGGGAGATTGCTCACGGGCAGGGTCGCGCGATCGCACCGTGTGCTGCCCTCTGATTCCGTACGTTAGCTTTCACCGTTCTTTGCCCCCAAGGGCGGCGCAACGAATTTCTGGTAGGGGCCCGCGCAATCGCGATGGCTGTGCCATCTACCAGTTGCCGTTGGCAGCTCACGTATTCGCGATGGTAATACCATGCGGCAGTTGACGGTGGTGGCTTACCATTATGGCAATCTCCT